GAGCCTCTTGGCCACAGAACCACTGTGTTTTGGGGGGGTCACAGCCCCCCGGGGGCAGTCAGCAAACTCAGGCTTGCCAGCGTCTGCTCAGGTGGTTGTGTGATCAGCCTCTAGTCCCCTTGGCTAGCAGAGGTGGTTTGCGGTTCAGGTGCCAGCTGCAATTCCGTCCTTATGTTTCATGTGCCCTGACAGCCTGCCAGAGCCGCTGGGCTGTGAGCGTTAGCACACCGAGGTACCAGCAAGTCTGTGCTGGCAAAGTCGTCTGCGCTTGGAAAGAAATCTGTCTGATAAGCCATTGTAAAACCTTTGATACTTCGCGACAACATAAAGGCCACGCTTCTGTCTGTAGGCGTATTAAAAAACAGTACACAGCCTCAGAAGGGATCTGAGAGCTTATGTGTGCCAAAGGTACCCTTGGCTAATTCATCTGTAAATAGATCCCTGGTGGCATTAGCTGAGGAGCCAAAATCAGCCAGGTGCATTGGCTACTGTAGTTGTCCGTATGGATGCGCTTGGTTACGGTAGCGGGTGTAATTAGCAGTACTCGTGCAGTGAGCCAGTGCGAGCGGGGGAACTCCTATCCCCGCCAAAGCTGGGTTAGGTGAGAGATGTGTTGGTGGAAATTGTCTGGCTGAAGGATGCGGAGCTGCTCTTACAGCAGAAAGTCTCCTGTGGTCTGTGTGCCTAAGAAAAGTCTACTCCTGTAAGAGGAAGTCGGTACTTCTCCAAGATCTAATGTGCCTCTGTCCTATGCAAGCCTAACACATGATTATGTTACATAACAAATTACTGATATGAGTTCTAGCTTGAGTTTATGTTACACTGTGTATTATACTTTGAAGGCAATTGCCTCTCTTGTTTTTCCATAGAGACAAACCATAACATCCTTATCTACGCTAGAGATACCCATCTCCTTTCATGCAAATAGAGGATATTATGTTAAGTGCATTAAGCTAGTGTAATCAATTTAAATTCAGCAACTGTGTTTATTTTAAAGATTTGTTGCTTCTGTTTTAGATCCAGCAAAGAACTTGTATCTCAAAAATATTGCTGGTTTTTTGACATACTTAAAATTTAGTAACACTTTTCCTGTATAACTCTGGTTTTGCTTATATCTGTAGTAGCTCTATAGCTTTGAGAGCCTACTACAGGAGATGTCAATATTGGCTCTAGAAAAATGTTCTGTCTTGTTTTGATATTTCTTCCATTTCTTATTGGTGTTGCTGCCTTTCATCTGTACCAGAAGCTATGCACGCATTTTGTCGCATTTTAAAGGAAACAAAGAACAGAAAACATTCACCCTATGACTTTTCTTCAGAAAGAACAACTTCTTTCC